CAGCTGGGCTTCCCCCACGCGGTGCGGGCCAGCAAGAAGGCGGAATTTGGGGAAGGGACCTCCCTCCGCATTCTCCTGGACGACGTCCAGTGCTTCGGGGAGGAGAAGACACTGCTGGAATGCGCCCACGCCGAGGTCGGCACGCACAACTGCTCCCACGAGGAGGACGCCGGCGTGGTGTGCAGCCAGGAGGAGGTGGCGGACTGGTGACAGAGGAGCTGGGGAAGGCAGCTGAGGGTCTCGGAGCACGTCCCTTTCTTGCCCGACCCTCTAAACCGGGGTCAGTATTGACGAGGGTGGGCTCTGCCTTGAGGATGCTGCATCTGTTCGAAGGGGTCTTGCTGTTTTCTTCGTGTTCGTCCCCATCCATATGCACTGGAGGGGACGAAAAACTAAAATGAAGCAGTGACTTGACTATGTCGTGGGCAGGGACTGCATTTGTATGTTGGGTTTTTTTTTATAAGAAGACAACCTCAAACATCAGCCATTATAGATTAGAAAAAAGATGCATCCTGTTGCCCTTTCACCTTTCAAAATACAATATTGCGCAGCTGTGCTTCACAATGTTTGCCAAAAAAGAAATTCCCAAATGACCATGTTTCGCTCTTATGGCAGTGTTTGCGTTGTTTGGCTTGCTTTGCCACCTGCAGCTCTGAGGGGTGGTTTCTAAGTAAGTACAAATCTGTGCCTTTCTTTGCAGAATACAAAAGTAGATTTTTTATTTAACTTTCCACGCATCAGTTTAAAGGAAAATGATTCTTCTGTAATGCTTTTTATTGGTATAAGCCTGTTGGTTAACAAAGATAACTGTGTCTAAGCAAAATCAGATATATTAGAAAAAGTTATAGCATACTGCCTGGAAAAGATTTCTGCAGTTTACACTAGCCTAAGTGAAAAGAAAATCTGGCTTTTTTCATACAAACAGGATTGTTATCCACTTTAACCCTGAAGATACTTTGTACGTGTTTCTCCACTTTCCCCAACGTTGTGAAGCCACATGTTTTTGCATTCAGCTTTCAGAGGTGTGAGTGACTAGACAAGAGTTATTATTATTGGGGTAATAATCCTGTAATATTTACCCCTTTTTAAAGGACATTAAAAAAATCACAAAACTCATTTTGTCTGAAATGTGTTTTTCACCTGAATGGTGACTGGAGACACATGTTCTCCTCTTGTGGTCTCTGCATTTAACAGCATTTTGCCTGGTTATTTTTTTTCCCGACATAATCAGGATGGCTTTAGTCTTGTTGCTTATGCAAGAACATGAGGAAGACAAGATGAAACAAATGTAAAATGACTAGTGCATCCAGAAAAGCTCACAAACAAAACCTTCTATCTAAAGCTCTTACTGTGGATATTTATTTTAATTCCCCAATTTCAAGTTGACAGTGTCCTCTTAAGCCTAAAACGTTGATGTACCTGGTAAGTGAATTTGTTCTAAATTTTAGATATTAAAGAACACCGTCACTATGCAAAAACAGACGATCAGAAGAATAGCACTGTCTTCCTACTTCTTGTGAAGTATAAAGGGGAGAACAGACGTATAAAGTACCTTTTGCAAAATACTCCTCTCGTTTCACTGGAAAACCCAGACATGCCATCAGGCACCGGACTGTTGTTAGGCTTTTCCCATTGCAGTGAAGGTGCAAGTGCATTTGTTTAAAGTGCAGAAATTCACTTCAGGCACAAGAGAGTCCTTTGTAAATTCTTCTGTTAAATGAGTTGGCACCTTGCGAGCTGATGGGACTCGAGAAACGGGAAAGTGGAGATAAAATCTTTCATCTTCCAAATTCCCCTTCCGCTTCTTTTGGCTCCTTAGCCAAATTTCAGCTAGCTCTAATGTGAGATTTTAAGAAGAATCTTGGTCATGGCTATGCTTAAAAACTTCTGGGCAGAGAAAAGACGTGCGCAAATGGAGATGACTCGAGGATGTCTGCCATTAGACAGGAATTTCACCATCATTTTCCAGGTGCTTAAGTATTCTTTTTCTGATTTAACTATTAATTACCCTGTGCTTGCTTTAGCCAATTTGAGCCTCCTGAGCATAAGCAGAGGGCACCTACACCTTGCATATTGCTGGTGGTGTCTGCCACCACCCCGGCTGGCAGTCCCGCAGTG